AAAATTATAAACTCAAGACAGTTGTATTTAGGTATTTTCAGCAGTCAAATATCTCATATGAAAAAAATTATACACAAAATAAAAGCGGCCCTTAACTTCTTTGGTGTCGTGTGTATCTGTACTCTCTCACTGAAGGATAATTTTTTTCTTTACCCTTTGGGGGAAACTTGTGGAGCCTGGGCATGGGATAACTCCATAGAGGTACTGGATTACTCCCTTGGAGCACAGGATTACTCCTTTGAGGCTACTTGATTACTGCCTCAGGGCACAGGGTTGCTCCTTTGGAGCGGAGAATTGCTCCCTTGGGTCACAGAATTACTCCACTGGGGCATGGGATTACTCCTTTAGGGCTACTGGATTACTCCACTGGGGCATGGGATTGTTCCTTTGTGGCAAAGGATTACTCCACTTGGGAATGGGATTGCTCCTTTGTAGCAAAGGATTGATCCACTGGGGCATGGGATTGCTCCTTTGTGGCAAAGGATTAGGGCCATGGGAAATGAGGTTCCTACCTTGGGACACAGGATTCCTCCCTTGGGGCATGGGATTACTTCCTAGAGGTACTGGATTACTCCCTTGGAGCACAGGGTTACTCCATTGAGGCACTGGATTACTCCCATGGGGCACAGGGTTACTCCTTTGGAGTGGAGAATTGCTCCCTTGGGTCACAGGATTACTCCCTTGGGGTACAGGATTAGTCCCTTGGGGCACAGGATTACGCCCTTGGGGCACAGGATTACTCCCTTGGGTGATGGGATTGCTCCCTTGAAGCACAGAATCACTCCCTTGGGGCATTGGACTTCTCCCGTGGGGCATGGGATTAGTCTTTTGGGGTATGCGATTACTCCCTTGGAATGGAAGACCACTTCCCATGGGTGAGGGGTGTTTTGCCTTGTGTGGGGGTTCATTCTCCTCTGGTGGGTTTTCCCCAGATTGAGGTGGCACATCACTACTCCAGGCTCCCACAGGTCGAATGATGCGGCGTTGAAAGAACATGACAACCTTTATGGCCGACACTGTGTAGCTCACTTCGTAGGTCTCGGGTGATTCCACCATGCAGGCTAACTCCCAGCCACGATGGCCCATCTCATTCAATAGAGGGATCCAGTCAGTTTTCTGCTTGACAGAGTAGTCAAAAACCCCAAACTGTAAAAGAATAAAAGGGCATTTTAATTGAATGGTTTGGAATCAGTTGTCAGGTGAAATCAGGCAAAATCTGACCTGGTCACTAGGCAGAAGAGAGAAACATGATTGACTTGAAAATGGGGATGAGTTTCGTTGATTTAGAGATTTTGGGATTTTATGATGCTTCTGGCCTTTTCTTTCCATAAAAAAATTGTAAAGTGGTATTTCCTTGAAAAAGTATTTCCTTAAATTTAAAGCCTTAAGAGACCTTTTTTCATTTTTGACTTTGACAAACAGTCCAATTTCACAATTCAATAAATTCATTTTGGGAATATCAAATGTAAAAACGCAATTCAGCATTCAAAAACCCAATTTCACATTTACTGCAGATAATCAAAATGGACTTCTTTCCAATATGTGCCTTATTTTGACACTCTCACAAAGCAAATGAAAAATATAGGAACAGTACACAACAAAAAATGATTACAATTAATCATGGTAACGACAAAATCGTTAAATCTAGTAGCTCTATGCTGTTCCGGCACACATATATGTGTGGCTGGAGGAGCCTTCAGCGGGCCACTCCCCCTGCGGTCAGCCCGTCTGACGGAACTTCCACCCCTTGGTCGGTTGTTAAACTTCATGGGTATGCCTTGCCTGGTAGTAAATAGGCCGATACTCTTAAACCTTACTTGCAATACTGTATGCTACCATGAATCAACGGATGCCACCCTTGCTACTTAATCTACTGTGCATAATCAAAGGAAGAAGTTGTGAATAACGCGGAGTCTTCCTGTCACCCCAAAGTCCTGCTTCCTGCCATGATTTTAATTGTTCACCCCGGTATTAATTAATCCCAATATTGGGGGACCGCGACACTATTTTACAAATTTGAGGGGGAAAGATCCCAATTTTACAGGAAATGTATTGGGGACTAGTTCTCCATTTGAAGGTTCTGAATGGTTCTCCATTTGAAGACCATTTTGCCTGTGGACAATTACCCATACCAAATTGTAAACACTGATGGACGATTATTTTCTCAGAACTTTCCCTTCCTGACATTTTCCCAGTAATGTTGTGCATGCAAAGTCTCTCACACACGCGAGTATCCGGTTGAGAAATATGGCCCGACTTAAAGCCTTTTTAGTTGGAAGGTCAAGCTGTCCATCAGAAGAATCAGTAGTAGTGACGTGCTAGAGCACTGACCTTGACCTTGTGTTCGTACTCAATGATGGTCCCCTCCCATTCCGGCACATCGCTGCTCACTTTGGAAGCTTCCTTCTCAAGGAACCAGATGGAGTTGTGATTGGCGTGAATGGTACTTGACAAAAACGCTGCAATTGGACAGAAAGACCAAAGATCTGGTGCAGGATGTTAATTTTGACAAAGACACGGAGCAGGACAAACAGATCCAAAACCTGTTTACCAAGGTGTTTGTTAGTCTCAAATGATGTCTTCTACTGCTCGTTTTTTGCAGCTTTTGAAAAAGACGGCGGGTCAGTGATTTCACTTTTAGGGGCCCTGACTGAGTGAAGAACAAGTTAAAGCTAAAATTAAAATCTACAGATCAGTGATAAATACTAAAAAGCTGAGTCACACATCACAAAGTGTACATGTCAAGTTGAGAGAGGTACCACTTTAAACCAGGCTAAGCCCCTGCCCAACTTAGGGGGGGGGATTTTTAGCAAGGGTGGGGGAGAAAGACTAAAAGGTGAGTGGAGTCCGGTATCTACTGCAATGAGTCAATTCTGTGCACAAAATCCTCAGTGATGACAAACGGAAAGACTGTGGCTATGCCTTGAACCACGCATGAATCTAGCCCTGTAAAAGGATGTTTGATGCAAATTTGCAAATTACTAGGGTGCACGGGGATGGGGTTGTGCTGCCATCTTGCAGACCATAATATAGTAAGTACCAGGGGTATATGTTTTGCCTGGTGCCCTGTATATATTTTGTGGACAGATTACCAGGGAAAAGAACTGACCAGTGGTCCTTTCTCAAACTTGCCCATTATTAATAAGCCAGTTTGGTGTTTCAATAAAGCAAGACCAGTTAGGAAGAAGGCAGGCATGCCTGTCTGCATAGGGCCGTACTGATTGGGAAAGCCTTGCGCCAGTGTCCGAATGACCTCGGATGCACTTCATCGTGGGCATGCGCTGTTGGAATACCAAACTGGCTCACTGGTAGTAAAAGAACAGCGCCCTCTACTGCTTGTGCAGAGGCCATCTCAAGGCTTACAACTCCTCTCTTTGATGGAATTGTCATAGTTGATCTCCACTAGTTTCCAGCCCCTCTGTAGGAAGCCAGCAAAGTGGCCCATGAAGTCAGTCTCCATCTCATACTCCACTTCCGTCGAAAAGCTGGGATATTTCATTTTGAACTTTATGGGAATGCTGACAGCCTGGTAGACATAACGGGTGGGGTTTGGATCCAAAGGCATATGGAAGAAGAGATCCACCCCTTTACCTGGGTGAGAAACCATATTTCGGTAAAAAAAACATACGTTTGGAGTTATAAAAATAGAAGCAAAACTGGGCTGGTCAGACAGAATATGACTTACTGAACAGTGTTAATTTTTCACTGAAAATGTTGACCTCTGCAAAGGGCAAAATGCAGTTTCTCACTCAGGGGCGGATCCAGGATTTTCCCAAAGAGGGGGCGCGATCCCTTATTTTTGAAAAGGGGGGGGGGCAAAAGTATACTAAAGCAGCAATGGTAAAATGCTTGCGAACATGTAATGCGAAGCAATATGGCGTAGGGTCCGGGACCATTTGGAATTCTAGGTGCTCTGTGTTACAATCTCAGACAGTATGACCCCTCTTTTTTTTTTCCCTTTTCCCTCTCTCTTTTTTACGAACAGTTACAAACTCTTGGTGGCGCACTATTGGAAATTGCCGGTATTGCTAGTTCACAGGTTGGCATTGCTTTTGTTGTACTGTTAGGGATCAAAATGCCCTTTACAGAGCATTTTTGATACGTTACAAAAAGACCCACCTCCTAAAATAATACTCACTTGCTTGGAAGCCGGTAAGTGCCTGCTGAAGTATCCCGGGGGACTTCTCAAAACCTGTGATTTCGATGCAGATCAAACGCCCTCCCTGAGCGGCAACATTGCTTATCTGTTACAATTGCAAAAACAACGGCACAGTTTTTGGACCAGAGTATTCACAATTTCGTACAAGCCAACAACTGGGATCCATGTATAAAATTCACTTACAATAAGCTCTCGCATACCTTCTGGTGGATGTCGGAAGTGTTGGATGTCACCGTCTGGCCTTCTGTGCCTTGAGTTTTCAAGAAGCTCTTCTCCACCCGAAGCTGGCATCTTTCACGGGACGGAGGCCTGTAGATAGAGCAGTTAGTTGGGAGGAACATCCCAGAAATGATGGGTGTAATAAATACAGAGCACTGGCTGAAACTCAACACGGACACCAAGGTTGATGAGGAGTTAAGGGTCAAGGATGGATGGCACACGAGAGAGTCTGGACTTGGAATGCTTTAGTATCCACTGAAACCACCAGCGGCCATCTTATGGTGCCCCAAACAAAGGTAAACGATGGCTTACGTACCATTTTAACCACTGTTGGCACAAACAATTTGGTTAACAATGGTGTGTCATCCTTTGCAAACGCACTGCAGTCGGAATGGGAAGATGATCCATGGGTGGCTCTAGTGACCTCTGTGTGCTGATTAAGAATATTGCAAATCCTGATTTTTTCATCATTTCAAAACCTTTCTAGGGGCATCTCCTGGAAACGAACAGCACACTGCAAAGCTTCAGTCAAGGCAACAGTCAAAATTATGGAAGACCCTGAAAAGGGCAAAAGTATGAACAAATTTCACTTGCCAAGAAAAATTGTCGTACTCTCGACCATTTTTGGGGCCATCTTAAATAGTTGGCTTCACACTTACACATTGACAGGTTTGGATAAGATGGCTTGGAAGGGCATTGCAACTTTAGAAGAGCCATTTATTTTTCTCATGAGTCCCGGGCAAGCCTGGAACTGCTGCAGGATAAACCCATGGGTATAGGGCTGGCATATCACAGGGTAACAGGCATCAGTGTTGGTTGTGACCATGGAAGAGGAAAAGATGTTACCTGGCAGGAAACAAATTATCATTTACAATTTACTGAATAGGCTTAAAAAGCAAATGCACCTGAAAGCTATCTTTCTAATTCTCAATTGCACTGAGTGCATGGAAGATGGGGACTTACGTCCTTCATTTTTTTTATGTAAATGCCAATTCTTGTGTAGAAATTATTGGGCAAGACAGTGCCATCTCATAGAAATCAAGAATATAATCTTCTGAAGGATATTTCAATTAATGCCAAAAGTTTGGACCTCAAACTTCACCACCATTAGTCACCATCCTTTAATAATGCTCCAACCGCTGCATGGTCTTGGGCAATAACTGTACACCGACTACTAACAGGTAAAGACCTTCAAAGAATTGAGAAATGCCAAGTGTAATTACATACAAAGCACAGCAGTCAGTTATCTTAGCCCAAACTTACTATCAGCTTTCAAAACAGCTTCGATGTTTACGTAGCAGTACTGGAGTCGGTCACCCGCATAAGGCTCTGGATCATTCGGGATAGGACTGTGAGCACCCATAGGCAAGGGGTTGACTGCTTCAGCTGGCCTTGAAGAACTGTGGGGTCGTTCATTGCTCATTCTGAAACTAGCTCGTCAGCTACAGTTTTTAAAACCTATAACTGAAAGATGCAATCAAGCCAATAATAATGGCAACAGCAATGGCAAACACTACTTAAACCTCTGGTTTGTACAAGGTGGGGCTGTCGCAAGTACACTTGTCAAATTGACGAGCTAAAAATAACAAACCAGGAAAAACCCAGCCTTTTGCATTTACATATCAAAGATGTCTATTATAATAAAGCTAAGATGCTCATGATAAGGACGAACTGGGATTCCAAGGTCTGTCAATCCATTAACATTGGGGAATGGATGTGTGAAGCAAGGGCACACAATGACAAGCCAACTGGGCCCCGTTTCCTTTCAAGTTTAAACCAAAGAGTGATCCAAAATCCTTCAATTATGAAATCTTCTCAGCAATTACCCCAAAATGGAAACCAACTTCAACGGAGAGAGCTTCGACTCCCTAAGCATACAAGTTTAAGCTCCAGAATGAGTCCCAATTAATCTCCTCTCCTCGTGTCTGATCCTCAATCCATTATCTACACTTTGCACCCAAAACTGAATGTAATACAAGTCCATGTACACTATTCCGACTATGAAACTCAGGTCTCTCGTGAATATACTGGAATAATTATTGTCAAAGTAAAATCTTACCATGACTTTGGTGTAAGGTTAGCAAGACGGACTTTATACCCACCCACCAGATAACACTGATTCCAACATGACGCTATGTTCCTGATTTAGGTAGAAACATGATTGTGTAAACATCAGTGTCTACTTGTAAGGAAGACGATGAATGAATCTGTGATAATCTGAGGGTACTTCAAATTTTAGTTCTGAAAAACAATCATCCCTTCAATGATTTTAAACACAGTTGGCACAAAGGTAACAGTTACGCTTGTTTAACACTTCATTTTATTCATAATTATGATGTGATATATTTAATCATGCATTTTACCTTGGAAACTGAAGATGGTTTACCCTTCACAGGTTTAAAAAAGTGAAGAAAGAAAATACAAGACAATAAATACAGAAAATTACTCTCCCACCTTAAAGCGTTCATAAGCACGGATGATACTGAACTATATTACCACTTGTGTGCCAGGGAGGTGACTGGTTCCCGTCCAAATAATAAATGATTGGGACCAGTAGCCAGCTCACACTTGACATGTCTGATTGGCCCTTCTGTTTGATATATATTCATACTATACTAAGTCAGACCAATGGCACTATAGAGTTAACAAGTGTGACGTCACTGTGAACCAGAAAGTGCAGTGCAAACGAATGGAGTACGCGGGCGTGTTGGTTCACGCGCTGGTTCATGCGCTCGTGCCTTTTACGCACTAATTGTGTGCGTGATGTATTCACTTCGGTACACTATGACACCTGCTTCATCCATGGTTAGCCACTATTAATTTACTCTTGGTTTCAAGACCTTCCTGTTTATTCTGTGACACGAACCATCACCAGATGAATCGCTATCACAGGCTGGTACGCCTCAAAAATGGGTGCTGTCACAGTGAATCGCATTCTGCACCACACAATGCACGCATATCGGATCGCAGTACTGCCAAAGGCATCTTGGACCCAAGACTACGATTAATCATGGAGTTGTATATATGTACACACAGTTTGCTTTCTCACATATTGTTTATGATCTCACTTATTTCCCCAGCCATTCACTTCAAGTCACTAATTACGTTGCTCAGTTATCACATGAATGAGCAATGCATACAGAACTTGTTTTGAAATACATGTTTAACAGAGGAGATTGGAGAATGCAAACTATTTCATTGGCTACTGTCTAATTATTAAATTGTGGAAGCAACTGCATGCTCATTTCCTCATTGAAATAAACTCTGAGGAATTCCTCCAAACTTTATGACCTGCTATTGGTTCCTACGTTCGATTAACATCCGAAAGACGTCTGTGGACTACGGAGGAACCTGGATCAGTCTAGGCAAGGAACACCATGACTTACAAATATGAGTACAAATGTCATGAGCAACTGTGCACAGTAACTTAACGGACCATGGGTAGCTAAACAGACCATGAGTAGCTGAACAAACCATGAGTAGCCTAACAGACCACAGGTAGCTGAACAGACCATGAGTAGCTGAACAGACCATGGGTAGCTTAACAGACCATGAGTAGCCTAACAGACCACGAGTAGCTTAACAGACCATGAGTAGCTGAACAGACCATGAGTAGCTTAACAGACCATGAGTAGCTTAACAGACCATGAGTAGCCTAACAGACCATGAGTAGCTTAACAGACCATGAGTAGCTTAACAGACCATGAGTAGCTTAACAGACCATGAGTAGCTTAACAGACCATGAGTAGCTGAACAGACCATAAGTAGCTTAACAGACCATGAGTAGCTTAACAGACCATTGTATGTTCCTTACAGTTTTCATTTTAATGTACATGGACTTACTTCAATATAAGCTTGCCTAATCAAATGAAGTTCAACCTCAGGAGCTCAGTGCATGGATCTAAAACTGAAAAGTTGTTATCCAGATGAAACTGAGTTGCCGATAACATCAAACTATAACTTCACTATCTGCAATGCTAATCAAACAACTTGTAGGTCCAGTTGATGGCACAATTTTCTTTCTTTTCGATTCTATTCAAATCTGGTACCCTCATGAGTACACACAAGGCTCCATCTCTTAGGCTTGCCTGCTTGATCTGGATTCCACTCAACAATCCCGACGCTGGTTCACTTTATGCATTAGATAGGTGCTGGTGTCAGTCAACCAATGACGGATCACTGATCGCAATCCGGATCCACGTTTAAACAAACAAGCCTCAAGAGCCATGCCAGATTGACGGCTGGGAAACACTCAGGGCAAGCCTCCTGAGGTGAACAACAACTCTATAAACATTTGCAGAAAACACATTGATAAGTTGGAAAAAAATGCAAAAATTGTGCAGCCATCTTGGAATTTACCATATTTTGGCCAGAATTGACCATACTTGACACATTTAAAATATCCATTCAAATGCAAGAGCAACATCTTATTAGATGTTGACGGGCTGCACACTGAAACCACTACTCATCCCCCCCAAAAATTATGGACATTACTAAACACCGGTGATTGTGTGAAACTTGCCATTTTTTTCTTGAGCTGGAAATTCTACAATCTGATTTGACTTGTTAAAATGGTTTAAATATTTTTGTTTAAAATGCAGTTATGTACACATTTATTTCAGCCTTACCTTCCCAAATTTCAAGCTGATTTAGCTCTTCAATGAAACAAAATCCCCCAAATGCCATAAACTAAAACTGAAAAACCACAACTTAATGCACATTCATAAAATAAATTCCTATGAAGGATTTATTTATCTGTGACATTTTGAACTTAATACTGAAGTACTACAACCTGGCTTTCATCAGCAAATAAGCATGATGATTATATGCATAGTATAGAAAAAAATTTCCACAAACTATTGGCTTTAAAAACTTTTTAGGAAATATTCTACTCTTTTCTATTTTTACACAGGTTAAGAATTCATTACTATAAATGTTACATTTACAACATTAGTGTGATTGTTGTTACAGACAAGATCTTTGCAATACACAGGTGGAATTTTATCCATCATAAACAATTTGTGACCCACCATCCCCAAACCAGGCTGAAGTAGTAACTCCACAACCATAAAATAGTGGAACTTCCACTGTTCAGATTTTCATGGGAGTTTTACAGCTATTACTACCCGTAAGAAGCTTACTGCAGACAGAATTTTGATTTGACATGGATCACTTTTAAGTGTAAAAAAAAAAAACTGAAGGAGAGGAATTGTCCAACATCACAAATACCGACTTCAGCCTGGTTTGGGGATGGTGGGTCACATTTCGATGGATTGTAAGTTTTAAAGCTGTGGTCATATTTTGAGAGGAAAATAAAGCCTGGAAAATAAAGCACACTGTGTCCCTCAGCAAGATACATTATCACAATGGGAAAATTCTGGGAGCTTTCCACAGCCACTTTACAGCAATATGAAGTGGGCGATTCGTAAAACTCATGTCATGATGGGGTGAGGTACACCCGTGATGACAGTCAGTAAGCGTACTTGCTTTCAAAATCCTAATAACAACTTTCACCACAGACCTCTTTGCTAGGCATTTCCAAACTCTTCAAAGATTTACAATCAACTGTCACCGACAATGTAATCTACCATTGCAAGGCTATTTTGTGCTTTTGCAATGACAAGAAACTCCGAGAATTTTGTTCATTCCCTTTGTGGAGACACTTAACATCCACAGCATGCATGGATCAAAGTTTGTACTTCCAATCAAAGGGACACTTACTGTTTCTGTTCCCGTTGGGGACTCCCTGGGTAGCCTCCATGGGGTGGGGCTGGATAAGCTCCCATGGGTGGGGTATAACCCCCCTGGAGCGGGGGAGCACTTGCTGGATATGCACTAGGCGCAGTTGATGCCGGATAGGGGGGTGGAGGCTGGTTTCCACCAGTATGTGGTGGTGGATAACTTCCCTGGGGAGGGGGATGAAAGCCTGGGCCTGGGGCATAACTCCCCTGGGCTGGGGGATAGCTCCCCTGGGATGGGGGATAGCCCCCCTGGGATGGGGGATAACTTCCCTGAGCTGGAGGGACCCCAGCCTGAGGCGGCATGACAAAACCGCCAGCTCCCACAGGCCGCATGATGCGACGCTGGAAGAACATGAGAACCTTCATGGCTGACGAGCTGAAGCTAGTATTATAGGTCTCAGGGGATTCTACCAGGCAGGCTAGCTCCCAGCCCCGCTGGCCCATCTGAATCACCAGTGGGTCCCAGTTGGTCTTGGCTCGGGTGCCACTGAACGTGGTCTACAAAAAAGACAAAATACAGTCAGGGCTGCTCTCATACTGTCTCAAAACTTGCCCTCCACATTTTGGAGAAACGATAGAAACTGAGATCTTTTCCCTAGTTAAAGCAGTGCTTTTGGATTTAAACTCTGGCACATTAACATCAAACCATCATCTTTTGGACACTAATTTAGGTCAACAAACGATTGAGACTTTGGCAACACTGTAGCTGAAGTACAAGTTAAACGTTAGCAGATGTCAAACACTAAGACTTATAGTCAAGTTTTACCCGACACTTTGGTGTCACAGGAGATAAGCAGTATGCGGCGCTCCAGTGGAAGTTGAATGTAAGCATATAAAGACAGGTGAAGTACTATAAATATGGCTTTTGTGATAATTGATGTCAGGTGCTAAATGTATATGGGGCTTAAGTGTCAACAGAGACCACAAATTTACCAATAGTTTAGTGTCATTGAAGTCAAAGTAAAATAGTTCTTTGACATTTACACAAGCCAACTTCCACTCAAGATACTGCTATTGCTGCAGGTCAAGTACTAAATGAGACTTCAAGTGTCATTATGGGTGGGGTACTAACGGTGATCTTGTGTTCATATTCAATAATGGTCCCTTCCCATTCTGGAATCTCGCTGTTCACTTTAGAGGCTTCCTTCTCGAAGAACCAGATGGAGTTGAGACTTGAGTGTGCCTGAAAGAAACCAGCTGTGTAGTAACAAGAACAGGACGTCACCTTGAGATGAATGGGTTCTAGCACTCGAGTCACTGAGTCTAAGAAGCCTAAAAAGCTTTAAGACGGAGTAAAGGCAATCAAGAGCTCTGGGGGAAAACTCGGGTCACAGGGATGTAAGGCTGGGAAATTACTAATGGGTTGGCATGTCATGGAGGAGAGTTACACAAGTTGAGTTCCTTAACCCTAACCCTCCTGAATCCTTCACCTGTTGGAGGATTGAGAAGGGTTAGGGTTAATTAAAAATTCCAGCAAGTCGGTGCACATCCAAGTCATCCAGTCCTAGACAAATGCACAAACTATACAAACAAACTGCAACAAATGGAGTTCTTGGTCATTATTCAACCTGTAACCCTTCGACTGGTGTTATGAAACAGCTTGCGACAAAACTGATGTACAAGGCTCAGGGCATGTAAACTGCACTTGGCCTTAACGTCGTGGACACTGCCATAGTTATGGCAAGAACAGTGGTGTCCAAGCAACTTTGCGCGGAAAACTGTATATAAAACCAAAGACGCAACGTACTACATTTATTCAGCAATTTTGCACTTACGCTGTGTCGTCATGGAGCAGTCAAAGTTGATCTCAACCAACTTCCAGCCCTTCTGCAGGAAGGCAGCAAACTGACCCATGAAGTCAGTGAGCACCTGTATCCTCGGCTGGGGGAACGAGGACGTAACTTGGAATTGTACGGGCACGCTGATGGCTTGGTAGATGTAAACCGTGGGGTTGGGGTGCAACGGCATGTTGAAGAAGAGATCTACACCTTTGACTGGTAAGATTTGGGGAATTAAGTATCAAAGTAAGTGTTCAAGTTCTGTACAGTTTAAGATCAACATTTGAATGAGGAGCGGCAACGTCTTCAACTGATCAATTTTGGCTCAGTGTTTGATTTTTTGAAACTTAAAAAGCCTTTGGAGACCTTTGAGATCTCGATATGGCAATGTGATCTAGGCAGATGACAATATTAAGTTTTTGGAAAAGTACAAGAATACAAGACAGAGTTTTAACTGAAGCACAACCTTCCTCCTCATCCAATGACAGAACAATACACAGCCAAATATTTTTGCTGTATATTTTAAGTTGCAATTATGGCTGACCAGAAATTAAGATAGATGCCATCATCTCTAAAATACTTACTTCCTTGGTAGCCTGAAAATGACTGACCAAAGCTGGGACCTTGCTCAAAACCGGTGATTTCGATGCATATCAAACGACCGCCTTGAGATGCAACTTGGTTAATCTGAAGGATTACAGGATGAGACAGAGTACTGCAAGCGTCTGTGAAGTATTAAGGTCTGGAGATAAACATGGATATAGGTAAGGCCAGGAGATGGGCCCAAGTCCCTAAGCAAGACACTGTACTGCAATCTCTCATCGTCAAGGAGCAAATAACAACATGATGGGTAGGATTGCGATAAGCAATGTAATTGCTGCAGACATTACATCATAGTGCAAAAGATATGTAAGCAGAAAGTTGATGTCTACCACAAGACGGTCAATAACTGAACTACCTTATAGAAGATGTCAGGACAATGTCAAAGAATTTTGGTCTTGTCGTATTTATTGGCCCGAGTAAAGTTCAAGAAGTTGTCATGTATCCTCGTTAATTATGCACTTAAAGCAAGTAGAATCAGTACACCTACCTTAGGCCCCGTAAATGCAAACCGATCAAAATTGGTTCGCAGATTTCAATTAGCAATAGTGTTCTGCATTTCAACTCTATCACAAATTGAGCCCACATTTAAAATCTGAGGCTTTGTCCAAATTACTTGGTTGCGGCTTGAAATTGCCTGTGACTCTGTTAATGTCACATACTCCTGTGTAACTTGGAGCAGCAGCCAAGTCATCCGGACGTGGCTACTTTCTACGCTTATCTCGCATATACCTTTTGGTAGATGTCTGAAGTATTGGACACAACCGACGACTGCGTCGTGAAGAACTGAAGGACCTGCTGGGTTTGTAAGAAGCTCTTCTCCACTCGTAGCTGCCACCTCTCATTGGGCGGTGGCCTGCAAAAAAGAGATGAAAGATCTGCGGAATGAAAAACTCTTGGCCCAATACACAAAGTCCATCTCAGTTCCATTTCCTTATTTGAATAAATTTGTGCCTTGCTAAAGAACAGGGTTTGAAAGTGCCAAAAAATAAATAAAAAGTAAAAAAAACCCTCAACCATTCACTTTTTAAGTTCATTCTTTAGGGTTAACATCTACCATAGTGACTCCAACTTTGAAATATTGTGCAACTGAAAAAAGAGATAAAGATATCCAGATAAAACATAAAGTAGGGGGCCAGCGCCAGATAAATATCTCTCTTTATACTTTGTCTTTCTACTTACGCATTGACTGGTCTGGACAAGATAGCTTGGAATGGCATACCCACACTGAAGCTAAAACCTTTTTGTCTCTGGACACCAGGGATGGACTGGAATTGATTCATGACGAAGCCCTGAGCATAGGGCTGGGAAATGATGGAATAGTAAGCGTCCACGTTGGTCGTTACGACGGGGGCAGAGAAAAATGTAGCTGCAAAGGAGAAAGAAGACAAGCGTCCAGGCCTATTTGTTCAACTTGAGGTCAGTCAAAATTTGAGGGATTTTCATCTAGCTCCAACAGCAACCTAAAATTTGAAACTGACTGAGATGAGCTCCAGATGATGGCGACCACAGGCACAGAATCCAGATTTGACACAAAAAAAGGGCTGTGTGCCTTGAGCAGAAGCCACCTCGCCTAAGCCTGTTCGATATTTAGTTCTTTTCATATCGGGATATCATGAAAAAATATCGCGATATCCGATATTATCGTGATAACGTCATTTTCAATTCATAAAATAAACACGACCAAAATCACCATGTCTCGAGTGACACGTTAAAAAAAAAAGAAAAAAAACACCAAAAAAATGAATGTTTGTATTATTTCTACATTTAGAACTCTTATATGCTGGTGAAAAGCAAATTTCAACATGGAAATTGTGGACATTAAATTATCAAAAATCATATCATGGCACCGTACGGAAAAAACCAATTCCTCACACACATTTGCGGTAAAGTTCACTCACTAAAGCAACCCCCAAAATGGACAGACCACATGCGTGTTACCAGAGGGGCTACTGGTACTGACATCCTCACCTCATTTCTAAGTCATCATTTATTTCTTGTTAGTCGGCATGTTTCACTCCGACCACAAAAAATCCTCCTTGTAAGTCGGAAATAAAAATACCACGCTTCGGTATCAGTTTCCTTCGCCACAGTTGCCTAGAAATGTCAAGCAACAAGCCCCACACTGCTTGACTGATGCATGCATGTGGTTGAGTACATCAATACCAGGGACCCCTCTCGGGCAACATGCATGCGCTCTGTCCATTTTGGGGGTCGCCTTATTGAACGAACTTAACATGTAGGCCCTTTTCTTATACTCAACTTGGGCTCCCGTCTCAGGCTTCAACTGTTTTTTTACTTCCTGACTCTGAAGTTGTAAACGCAATAGCAAGTTTGATAGTGGCACAGAACATCAAGTAAGATGCAAAAGAGCCAAACATTACAGTTCTTCAATTTAATTGAAACGGGAATTTGTTTTGGAGACGGAGCCTGAGATGGAGACAAAGTTGAGTATTGGAAAACTGCCGTGTACGTGCATGGCACGTGGGCACAATATGACAATCCAAAGTCCCGAGTGCGAGAGCCGACTTAGCTGGAGTTTACTGTACAATACATGACACGTGCGCACAGTCTGTTTGTTTGGTTCTGCCCCCTAATACTTGTAAGACCATCGAAGTTGCTGGGGCGACAGTGCCTTTGTGATTTGAGGTTTTCAATGGGGTGTTTGTGTGGCCTAAATGCAGTAATGCATGCCGGGCTCAACACGCGGTGCATTGACTTCCCTATGTGCATGTACAGTACATCGTTTAGAGCTTATCGTGATAATTCTCGGCTTATCGATTTGCACGATATCCCCTATACCCTGTATGTGTTTTTATGAACGATACAATATTCGATATCAACATCTTATCAACATCCTGAAATATCGTCATATCAAACAGGCTTACCCCCGCCTCATTAGTTGAAAAGAGCCATGTTGGTCAGGAGTGCTTATTTTCGTTGGTAGCGACGCGACTGTAATGCTTACATTTCGTAGTTGTTCATGAATCAGCAAAGTGCAGTTCTGACCAAAGAAGCCTCCATTGCTAGGAAAATAACGCCCTCTGTTGGTCGCACTCAGGGCTTATAGCATCAGCAGTCCACCAACCATCAGCTGTGACTGACCTTGAGTTGTAAGCTTTGCCTCCACATTGACAAAGCAGTACTGCAGCTGACCGCCGGCGTAAGGCACCGTGTCGTTGGGGATGCCGCTGTGAGCACCTACACGCACGCCCTGCTGGGTCACACCACCAGGGCTGTTGTACTGCTGAGACTGCTCGTTGCCCATGCTGGATCCTACTGCAGTTTGGCCTATGCGTGCAAAGGATTGTCAAATTGCAATAACGTAAAGGGACAGAACAGAAACTTTTCTTCACATTGGTGCAGATAAAGGCCAAAAAGTGACCGACGTGAAGTGAGTTACTTATTCCTTGTTTGACATTCAGTGTTGAACATGTAACCATTTGATATTCAATAAGTAACCGTTTGACATGCAGGATGCACACACCTAGAAACGATGGAGTGCAAAAGGGACAAAACAAAAACACAAAAAATAAAACAAGCTACACCACCGTGCACATCCATTCACATTAGCTTATTTACACTGTAAATGCCCTTTCACAATGATGTATACACACACAACTGTATCCCACAGAGGCAACCATGGGGTTTTTCGGGGTCAAACAGGCCCTTTAATGTAGGCGGCACAGTTTGTTTTTTCTCTTTGGCACTCCATCATTTCTAGGGATGTGCATCCTTAGCGCTTGCTGAATGTCAAACGGTTACTTATTCAATGTTGACTTATTCGACGTTGATTATCATTATCAAACAGTTACCTGTTCAACATTAAATGTCGAATGTCAAATGAGGACCAAGTAACTAACTTCACACTGGTCAAAATATGGGGTTATTCAAGAAAAATTTTTCCAATTAATCTGCTGGTAAGTGCAAATTGAAGGTAGGCTTATACGCCTTGAGGCTGCAAGACCTACATGTCATGGCCCTGACCTAACTAAATCATGTAGGGCCTAGGCCTCTGTCGGTCTAGGACCAGCTCAATGGTAGGACCACCAGGATGGACTCTCTACCCTTGGAATCTGGTTGGCGTAGTGGTTCTTTCCTTGCCTTCCACCTCTGCGGTCCGGGTTCGATTCCCAGCTCGGTGTGTCGGTCCACATGTGGATTGGCTTTTCAGTCCCTACCTGACTCCGTGGGTTTTACCCAGAATATTCCTCCGGGATTTTCCTCCCACCTCTGAAACTGTAACTGCTTCTCATGCCACCATGTTCACGCTGGTTTTAAATGTTCTTTTTTCCAACTGCTTCAATTCTAAGGATAACACAAGCCAAAAACTTACCTCAAGTACTGTGAAATGGAGTTGCCAATTGGTAAAAACCCTTATTCTGCTAATAGGCCTATCACCACTAACGTTAGCTCTGTCATGTTTTGACAGGAAGGTCAGAAGCTGTTTAGACCATGTTTAGACCTGTGGTGAGCTTTCCAAATCCATTACATACTGTACGCTACGTACGTGTACGAGGTCACAAGTGCACAGGGTGGGGATTATTGGGGGCGCCCTCTCTAACATCGCTGCTAGAAAACCATGGTAAAACTGAGTCACTGACAAGTAAATATTTCCATGCAAACATTCAATTAACAAACACACCCTTGATCTTAGCAATAGGTAATACAGCAAAATTATCCACGTATCTGACGTTCTGCTCTTTTCCTCATTCCTTTTCGGGGTGAAAGAGTTGCGTTTTATTTACAGCTGAAGTTGAACAAGAAGACTTTCCAAAATAAACGACAAGAAATTGAAATGAATAACTCGTTTAACTCAAACGCATCGTCTGCACACACAAGATCATGCCAACTCAATAAATGCGGGGACAATGCGTCATAATTTTAGACTCTCCAAGCGCGGATCCAGGCTAGGAGTCAACCCCCTCCCGGCCGCCGCTCCTTGTCATTTTTTTTTAAATTAATGAATTTGTTAGCGGCCTAAGTCTAATGGTTGTAAGCCTCCTAAAAACAAAACAAATAGATTAAACGCTTTCACCAAAGGCAACAAATGCAGCCCCCCCCGCGAAAAAAATTCGACCCCCCAGCAAAAAAATCCTGGATCTGCCCTTGCTCTCATCAATCAATTAGCCAAAGAATAATTAGTAAAATACAATCCTTACAATTAAGAGCTTATTAATCGAAAATACTATTGAAAACTACAATCGTCATTATTTATTTGTTCACTTTGCTTCACTTTGCACAGATTTTAGATACAAATTAAGTGGCAAACTGTACCTTATAATAGACAAACGAAAGCCCATGGCGTCTGTTGGCATATTTTGCTTCGTAGAATGATCTGTTTTCATGTTTGAAGCGTACGCACTGTTGAGACTACTTCAACGAATACTTATTTGCACGACCGGTGGGCTTTCTTAAGATTATAATTCGTAAAACTGCAGCCTACATTTTCAGTTACTTGGAGCGACAACAGTGGTCTCTACTTAAAAAGCGGGATCTTTTCTTTATATCTTCTTTTACAATATGCCCTCTTTGTTCCTTTTTTGTACAAGAGTTGCAGCATCAGTGCTAGATGGCATTCATAGTTTTTACAAAACACCTCCTGGAAACTTTATGTTTTGTTTGTGGTCACCGAAGACGAGAACCGTTTCAGCAAACTTTGCATAGAGTTATTCTTAATTCTACATCACTGCAAAGATACCTTTAAATTTGAAAAGTGTCTGCAGAAATCGTGCCAAAAAATACAATTACTTTCTGACCCAAAGACAGACAGTTAACATCAAATTTTCGATTCTCAAATAATCATTTAACTATATTATTAAACTCTGAGTGTTAAATAACATTAATAGCGGTGAATATCACGAAAAGATTTATGTAGATTTCCATCAAAATGGACTGTGATACTAAATTTGTGAATAACGGCAATTAACAAATTAACAGAAACGACAAGTTCTAATTGTTATCTTAAATATTTCTCTCCGGAAATTTTATACAGGAAAAAAGTATTAGGATATCCGTCGTAGATACTATTAAGCACACACAACCAGTCAAAGTTAACATGATGTGTTGATCTCATTTAATGGAATTTCCCCCTTACACTAGTTCTAATTTGGTTTTCGTCCCCCTTCTGGGCACGCCCCATTTCGCAGTCCACTCCACTATGAAAAATGTCATTTTCATTATCAATTAATTTACTGTTTTTGTTGAGCTGCTTCATTTAGTTAAACTTTGTTCAATCGTCTTGTTCTGAAATCCTACACACAAATAAAACGACAACAAAAATTCTCAACATCTCTCGCTCTTCTACCTCTTGAAAACTGCACTTCCAGTTCCTTTCCCCTGCCAGTCAAGTTAAGTGGATACTGTGGGCACATCCGATCGGCTCGTGGACGACGATGAACTGGTCGAAGACGGAGAGGACGAAGGCGAAGTCGTCACCGAAGGAGCCGGCGATATCCTGGCGGCCAAGCTACTGTAAGACGGCGGTGGGGGCAGGTACGCGTAGGCCGGGTAGACGGGGCCACCCGACGTGCTGAACATCGCGTAGTTGGGCGCCTCTCCGTCGTAGTAACCCTGGGGCGGGTATATCGGATGACCGGAGGCATCTGGGGGTGAATGAATGAATCGTCAGCTGTATTCTTCTGAGCTGTAAAAACACGGCCTATCCGGTTCGTAAGTGTGACATCACTTTAGTTTTAAACCACGCCCACTGCACACGTGCACTGCACACTTAGGGTTATATGCATTGATCGCCATTTACATGGAACCATGGAACCGGAAGTTAACGCGCATTTTCAGCAATTGTCCAATGAGAGCCTGCAAATTGTGGCGCTTCCGCCTTTGTGACGAAGTCACTTACGAACTGGTATAAAAGATTGTGCGTCAGATCTACATCTGGCTGACTGTTATTGTATTTTTGTATTATGACAGGGAAGTTCTTGTGAAGATGGCATCACTGTTTTTCTCATGAATATGCAAATAAATTTAATTTATTGGAATTGAAAAGGCCCGATGATGACAATGGCGGTAAACTTAAGGGGACTCAGTGTACTTCATTTCAAAAATCTCCTGCTTGTAAAAATTTCTCGCATATGGGGACGTCCCAAGAAAGCCAGAGATGATTGAATATATCGATGGATGATTGTTGGTTTTATGAGACACAATTAGCAGGAGTTTGAAAAATTGTACGCAGGGAAATCTCTCTAGTGGAAGGAGTGTCGATGGTTCTGACTTGGGCTTGGGCACAAACCGGTGGTTGATACCTGTGGTTGTCACCATGACGTTCCTCGGGTGTGGGTGCATGAGCCCGTCGGGACCTAGTCGACCGTTCATCGCTCCGTGGCCATGCATCACCTGGACGGGGTTGCCCGTGCCCCGTTGGTTGTGTTGGTGGTGGTGCTGGTTCCGAGGATGGATGGCTGCGACCTGCACGCCACGCAGCTGACGTTTGCGGTAGTAAGCCCCACTAGCCAGGGAGCAAATAAAGATGCCGAAACACAGGCAAAACCTGGTGGGGATGCAAGGGACAAATGATGATGATTCAGGCATAAAATCAGACGTAGGATAGTTGAAAGTGCTTGTTGTTGAAGTGGACCTTGTTGGCTTATGGACCCCAAATAAAAACGCAAATGTCGAGAGCCAATTCTAGCGGGAGGGGGGGGGTGGGAACCGAGGCTTCAAATATATTCCCAACTTGAACCTCAAGTAATTTTGTATTTCAAGGTGTCATTTTTTCACGATAGCATTAATTTGTCGATAGTTTTAACTGGCGAATAAAAAATATCTAAGCTCGAGGGACATTTTTCCTTCTATGGTGTCTACACTCTCAGATCATGTGTCAGTACAACCGGAAGCTGTGTTAATTTGTGCTGAAGTCTTTCTTCGTGTCGCAGTCGTGCCGTAGCGACTTACCAGAAGTACCAGAGATCATACACGCCGTAATAGTAATCGTTAGAGTAACAGCACGAATTGCGTCCACAGCAGTACTGATTGCTCGGGCATCTAACAAAATGAGAGAAAAGAAGGGTTTCATTTTTATTTATAATTTGGGTTGATCTGTTTTGTTAGAAGGAAGAAATCAGGGCCAGTAAACCCCGGGGAGGGGGGTCTATATCCCTCCAGCTTTTGACCAGGGGCATCCCTCTTTCTCAGTGAGAAAAAAACCTGGATTCGAGGTACTTTTGAACTTCCTAACAACCAAAATTGTTTTGAATGGTAATGAAGAATGTGCAATAGCTTTCATTAGGCCTCTTCCGTTTTGTTTGAAGGACATCTGTATCATGAACAGCGCCCCCATTCCCATGTGCTAGCCTGCAGCCCCTCCCCTTTCGAATTTCCACTGCCGGGCACATTTTAGATTAATGTCATCCCCAACCCCTCCCCAGTCCTCGGCACAGATTAATTAACACCACTCCTAAAAATAGCAGAATGTGGATGTTGTCAGGAAAATTATGCTTAGATCCAACCACTAGAGTAGTGATTTGGCCTTTGGTCACCTGTTTTGTTGAGCAATAATGTTATGATTTTGTTTGGTGCTTAAAGGTAGCAAATTTCTGTATGTGCTTAGAAGCTCTGTGTAGCCTCTGTGTTTCGAGTGCTCAGTCAGTTGATCTAACCGAGGACTTCCGAATGGAAGCTCGAAAACTGTTTCCTGTTTCTCTCGCCATATCAACACCCCCTCATAATTTTTTCTAGGCAGGTTGAAACCTGTTTTCTTGGCCTGACAAATTCGTTCTACCCTGGCTTACACCACGTCTAAGAGACAGTGAACACTGGCTGATTAACTAAACTTAAGATAACAATTTCGAAACTCACGTATAATAAACAGTATCGCCGTAATTGCTGTAAGGACACTGCTTCGCACTGGCTGTCTATTTTAGAAATAGGAACAAAAGACAGTCAAGGAAAAAGATATTTGTATTTAAATTAGCACCAAAGAACAGTTCACAGACATGTATTAGGACCTATCAAAGCAACCAGTAGCATATGAAAAAATACATCTGTGCTGAGCAGTGGTATTATGCATAGGAAAGGATTGCTGATCTGTATAGATTCTAGTTCAACCTACCGTGAATGTCTGCAGGAATGCTGCACTAACAAGGAACGACGACGTGCTGATGGGATGCATCTCGACGCGAAGGATAAAAATCACAAAATTTAAGAAATCGCTTGTTGTAGTTATTTTGACACGGGCAGATAGGAAAACCATCAATACATAATTAACCCCCCATCATTCGGAGGCTTAGAGATCCAAGCAAAATGGCGAATTACTAAATAAATCATAATCTGTCATTATGTCAGGATGCACTGAACGGCCGCCTAGATGTCCAATCTGCAATGCAGTGCTCGCGAGAGGTACGAATCCTGCATTACCAGTGTCTTCCGTCTCCTGGTTGGTCGATAGGATAATTATGTTAATTTATTCATCCGATCACCCGCTGCAAGGTTGTTGTTTTGCTGCTAGCTACGTACGTGTCGAGTAGTAACGGAGCGACCATTTGGTAATGATGAGGACTCGGAGGATACTAATTAAGTTGGAGGATGCTAGTTACGTTGACTGTTCCCATGGCAACACAGTGATGCATGAACAATTCAAGGGGATGTACAATGACTGGTTTCTTCTCAAGCTGCAGAAGGGCAGAACAAAACAGGCACGGCAAGGGATATTATAGGCAAACAAAAGACGCATGTTTTGAATGTTTTATTCTCAGTTGTTGCTTGCGAAATAAAGATCTGTATTTTGATGAGGTGTCTTGGATTCACCAGTTGTAGAAGCTTACCTTCGTGTCCGATATTTTATACTTTCAGCATCATGTATCTAATTAGATTAATTTCTCTTTAAAATCCTGTTTGCTTTGTTTTTGTTTTAGAGTTTTACGTGTATTTATCATGGTTTACTTGTCAATAATTGTCTCAAAAACCTACCACTGTGCGCTGAATAGACGATCGTGTTTACAACACAAGACACAATGTTAGCAAATATCGACTTCCAAATGGCTGATACAAAGGGGAACACAGCATGCTGGGTAAAGTCAGATCGATAAAGATGGCCGACAGGACAGAGTAATCGATTGGAATCGATGGTTAGTGGTCAGTCTCCCAAAATGCACAACACAGTAAACCAAGACACGCGCTGCTTGCCGTATAAGAATGGAAATGGAGAAAACTGATAGGAAACTGATATTTTATGCTTGATTTTTCTTCTCAAAACAAGTGTCACAAAAATGAAGCTGACGAACGAGCGGACTTCCGATTGGAAATCGGGTGTGGATTTTGGCTTGAGATGGGCACTGTTAGCGGCTTGCCTTTGCCAACTTGCTTACAAGGTAATAGACTTTTTTCCCCGTTTATCCTGGCATCTGAGAAACGACTTAAGATAATCTGATGCAGTTCTTACCAACTGGCTTTCATCTCTTATACTAAGATATGTGTGTGTCCATTCAAGTCACTTGTTTTCCTTTGACGTTTTGCTGGATAAGATAATGACGTAACTTATGCTATCAAACTGGTAATTCGGGCCAAAAATGTGCTTAACTCCTTTTCTTCCGAAAGAAGGCCACATAGAACAGTCGATTACTAGGAACTGAGTGCAACAGAAGGAGCAGTTGGCGAGGGGGCGGTTGGCAAGTGAAACCATGCCAACAAGTCACTAATGTTATACGCACACTATAACACCAACCACAAACCAAGCAACATGGAATAATGCCTGGCCATTACATAATTCAATAAACTCCATGACAATGTTTACTATTTATTATGTTGTACCTGGTTAGTTGGTCTAACCCATTCAAGTTTTTTTTCCGGTTTCTTTTCCTTCAGGGGTGTCACGCAGCGGTCGACTGCCCAGATCAGAACGGTGTAATTCGGTACAGGTGCATGCCCGTCTGCATTATCAACAGCACCCGTTTACTTGAATAAAATTAAACACAATGACAAAAGAACAGCTCGTGGACTAAACCCAAATGGGCCATTCTGTTCAATTTTCTGAAGAGCGAATTCCAAAAGAGCAAGGTCAGACTCAGAACCTAAATTTGGGGGGGGAGGGGTATAAATTCTTCAATTAATTTTTCACGATTTTGCTTAAGCAAGAAGCTAAATCTTGGGGGCATTTGTGGGCATTTTGGAGACGAATGGAAGGGATGATTAATACCAAAAGATTGACACTTCAAAATTCAATCCCCCTACGCATGGGGGGGGGACTAGTTGGAGGTATGGCACTGTTTATCCCCAGGGGAGAGACGACCCCTACAATCTGAAGAGGTAGAAATGCCAAACGCTCCGTAATGCAGAACCTCAACCTTTTTCCTTTACATTTATGCGTATAGATGTGAAGATTCTGCCTACTGTTGTGGCAACGGCGAGTGTTGTTTGCTCGACAACGGTTTCAATATTTTCACTCTGTGGTACTTTTGGTGAGTAAAACTGTGTACAGGAGTCACTTTTATTGGGCGTGCAGAAAACATTACGCTAAGCGGCAAAAGGTTACCAGGGAAATGTTAATGTAGACGTTTATTACCATCTAATGGGTTCCTGATTTTGATCGAAACACGTCAATATGCCTGGGCACGGCTAGAAATCCAGCTACTCAGAAGTAATGGCCGTATAAACACGTTGAGTGCAATCGACATTATCTCATACAACAATATCAGTGAAAACTTGGGCAGTAACAGTTGCGAAGGAGCAAAGACTAAGCAGAAGTCAACAGAACTGGCTCTTTGAGCTTTCATGACCTGGTTTTTTGGTTGGCTGTCTGGGATCTTGCTTTATTCTTTTCCATTTCACCTCAACGTAGGGCATCCATCGGACTAGGCTTAGTCATCTGCATCGCTGCCAGTCGGGTGTTTTGCAAGAGCAAACGCCACAGCCAGGTGCAAGTCCAAGATATCAGCAAAGCAGCCAATCACCTTCAAGTCGGTGACGTGCCGAGACCACGGCCACATCTACAGCCGCAGCCACAGCCGTTACAACAGACACAGCCGCAACAAGTTGTAGTCGTGCCAGTCGTATGTAAGTTTTGTTTTTTTTCTGCGAATTACAAATTAACCTTGCGATATTGCTATGAAAATTAAAGAAAAATGGATTTCTTGGTAAGCCCTGAATACGCGGCAAGCTGCCAAAATACGCTTAAAACTCGTCGAAGGAGAAAGAAATTTGGAAAAAAAGAAGAGAAAATTCGAAGGGATTTCTCTTTCTTTCTTTCGCTTAGATAATCAGCCTGCCATACGTGTGCCACAAGAGGGCGCTTTCAACGTCTCTGGTTCTGTTCTCCCCTCGGGTGCCATGACAACGGCCATGCATCCCGGCATAAACCAGCCGCAAGGACGTCGTCGAGTCATGATGATGAATGGACGCCCTCCTCCAGGGCTGGTGCAGCCGGCTCCCGCTTTGCCAGGGGAGTTTGTCAGACCCTTTGGGCCTGGATATCATCAACCCTCGTTATATGGACCACTGCCGCCAGGCTACGTGCCACCAAATTAATTATCGAAGAACCAATTTAATTTCATTACGGAAATAGTTATAGAGTTTAGTATTGATGCGGGCGATTCTCAGTAGTGCGCCTCCAAGAGTTTGCAACGCGGTGGTCAATTACAACGCGCGAATTTGTCGACCATTTCCAAACGCGTATTGGGTTGACAGATTTCGCGCATAGCCAACGCATTGCAACTCTAGGCGCACTATTGTGAAACGCCCGTATTGTCGAACATTTTAATGACGGAACATACCGATTAATTTACAATTTTTATACCCATAAGATAAAGATAAATTTTTAACACTAAAAGTTGTTTGCTGTAACAGACAAATAAATCGGTGAAATTTTCCATAAATACTATTTCAACTGAAGCATTATCTAGTTCCACTTCATCTTTGGGCTTACGGTTTATGATGTCGAAGTAATGCCCCTACAAGCCTTTCAGGCTTTAATACAAAATTATGGTTCAAGGCCTTTAGCATGCATTAAGACTACAGCCACACATTGGACCACAGCCAGATCGAGGTGGAGCAAGCTTAGCTGAGAACTAGCAGTGCGCCCTCATGTGCTGTTAAAATGCAAGGAAGACAACGGTGAAAAAAAAACCGGCTAAAACAACGCAATGTAAGAATGCGGTTACTCAGTAAAAACCACTCCGTGAAAATCGGACAAAAGAGATCCGGAACGAAATGGGAAAATTTCTTTGAAGTAGAAACAAATTTGAGGGATGTTTTAGTGATGTTTTAAAAGGCTGCTGAGCAAGGATTCAAACGGCACAGCGCCTTGGGTACCAGTTCTGGTCGACAATGTGATTTCTAAATACATTTACCCATTATTATTATTATTTTTTCTCAAAAACCGTTACAGTTTGTTTGCAGTAATTGGAGGCGAGTTCAGGGAGCTCAAAATTGATACAAACTGAAACCCGAGCACATTTAATCCATGGATTCCGCGAAGAAAGAATTGTCTTATTACAAGAAATTTCATCGATTTCGGCGATGATGAATGAAGTGACCATGGGCCTTAAAATCCCCCCCCACCCGCGTGAACACCCCTCTCGAAACACATTACGCTCGGTAATTACCAGCGGCTTTTCGATTTACCATAAACTCTAACGGCACATCGAGAAGGCCTCATTACAGCGAAGAAGCCTTCACGTGAAATGAGTTATTATCTGGCCGTGTTTCATTTCATAAAGAAAAGAGCCGAATCCTCAATATTGGTTCTTGTATCATTACCGTGGCTTCGAGTTATTTATGCACAAGCAAGGTCGCATGAAGGATTCAGTTCATTACTCAAAATATACAACAAAAAAAGTTATCCAATTATTTCTTTGCGAAAGGACAAGTGCTCTTCAAACGGAACGCAGCCGTGCTACGTCAAGGATTTCTCTTCGTATTTAACAAAAACGGAAAGCGCTGAGTAAGGACGTTGTCCGCCTTGTCATGTCGACGTTACAAATTGCGTGCAGCGTCCATGGTCTGACTTAGCAAACTTAGTATACCTACACCACGAATGCAGCTCAAGAATGACGTTACTTCGGGTCGACCATCTTCTCAAACCATCGGTTACTATACATGGGGCCGATCATTTTTTTCAGTGTGCCGTAACGTAAGTGGCACGAATGATCACAGTCATGGTGCAGGCTGCTAAGTGCGTGCATAATCAAACATCGAATTCCACTTGGACTCAAGCTGAGCAGTATTAAGCTAGTGAGAATCTTTTTCAAATTTGAAAAATCAAGAGAGTCACCAAAAGTTTATCTTGTTTGTTTGTTGGCCCACTCAGGAATTTTACACGTTACTCGTATTTGTGGTAGTCCCCCAGAATTTTCGTATAGGCATTAGGCACAGTGCTGACTTTATGTCCCGGGCAGGATGAAAGAGGCAGGTTATCGAAGGTTTGGAGATGGAGGAATCCTCAGTAAGCCTATGGGGGGTGACCCCTATTTCCAATCGGCTTGTTGTGCACACTCTTCTTGTAGGAATGACTTCCAGGTAAAGTGAGAGTGATGCTAGAAATAACACTGAGGAGTATTACTCTAAATGTAGAAACTAGATGAAAACGAGAATCTTATTTGTCTTCGGGCTTTGGCCAACTTCCTGTGTTTGTCGACATTCTCCACGACACACGTCATCACGTTCTAATAACGCGTCATCAGCAATGAAGGAGTTGGCATTCGGGATCCAATTAACATTCTTGGAAATATCAATGGAGACATTTCTATTTTACACCATTCCAACAAAGCAAACAAAATGCTCAGGGCGTTACACAAGCTACCTCCGACGCGTTTACGAAATACAAAAATCAAAACATGCAAGCCGCGATATCAGATGCAGTTTTTAAAACAGGTAACAGGGAACGATTGAAATTGCCAGATACGTGAAAATTAGTGGAACCGAACCGTTTTGAAAATGACCTGCACTGCATGATATCAAAGCACATAATTACCTGACTTACGTGTTTCACATGGTCGTGCGTGGCGCCTAAAGGTCTTCCGTGTATAAAGGTGTTCAAATGAAGACGACTCAAAGATGTGCACTACGCAAGAGAGACAATATTTGACAAGAGATAAAATGATAATGACGGGAGGATGTCAGATTGTCTTGTCCCCCTGAGCTTCGTCTGATTTTCTCCCCGGGCGTCTCATTAGGCTTTCAGTCACTGGCGACGTTAATTCCCTCTTATTCTCTAGCTGCCCTGATCCCCGGCCACGTGTGTAGCTCTGCGAGGATCCAATTTTCCCGCGCGGTGTCGGGTGTCACTCGCTGATCGGCACGAGCCGACATTGGAACAATAATCATAGGTGTTCGTTAGCAGTCGGTGTATATCTGTGCGCATGGGCGTGGCTGTCGCAACAGTCATGTTAATGACATTTATGTCTAAACCCTTGTCTATTTTTGCAAACCACTGTAAAGGTTTGTCGAAATATCGTCGATTGTGTCGTAAAATGACTTGTACAAGTCTACGCGGGATAAAAACATTTCATTTTGTGGTCCGCTGACATCAACTTGTCACAAACATGTAGGCCCTACTTGTGAATATCGTTTCCTATCAATCGTCTCCATGGAAATGGGTTCAAATCTCTATTTCTTTCAATGTGACACACACAAAGACATTTTCCTCTCTAATGTTTCAACCATTAAGTGATGTCTAAGTTCGGTGCTCGCAGTGGTTTGTCTACAATTACCATCATTATAACGACATGGCTGCCTCTTGTCATTTTTAACGCGCAATGGAACCCACCCATCATCATCATCAGGTTGGTCCTGATGATGATGCACAAAATGAACTAAGGTAGCTATCACTAGCGTCTCCTATGCACGATGATGAACGACTATATTATTGGTGTCTAAGGGTATATAAAAGCCATCGATTTTTTTTTCAGTCAGCTTTGATATGGGTTTGACGTCGTTTGCTTTCCTTTGCTGACACCAGTACAATGGAGATCTCTTGGAAATAAATTAAGCCACTTTAGCCCACTCCCAAGTCGCTTTTAATTCTTCATTTAATGAAATTTTCATATTCAGCTTGAGCTTATGCCAAATGGTCTACTCCGATGCCCGAATGGTTTAGTTTTCATCAATCGGTTTTCATTGCATTAATTGCGCAGTAACTGAGATTTCGGCCATTTTTTTCACTGAGAAGATTTGATCCCTTGAATATAAGCTTGATGGATCAGAATGAAAAAAAAATGTGAAAAGAAATAGACACAGCTTCAGAAAGTTAATGCAGTTAGAATATATTTCATTTGAATTACTTACTTCATGATTACTGGATTTCCTTGTTTTCGTGAGTGCAACCAGCACATTTATAAATTGGGACTATTAAAGGAAAGTTCTACCACACCTGACGATCAGAGACGACCTAAATCAGTGACGCAAGCCAGCTACATGTCTATACATTTTAGATAATGCACGTAAAACCTGTGTGTATTTTGAGGTAAATAAACATTTTACACGTGTAAAACCAAACACCAAGCCCCAATAGACGATTGATGCACATTCAGTTGACCGAATGTAACACTACATCTACCCTTGGAAGTTAATCAGTTTCCTTAACAGACCTCTGTTTAGTATCACGTCCCTATGAAATGTCGATTTGAAACCGTGTGTTGAGAGCCAGGTTATGGTGTCATCAAACCAACGACAGACCGATCAAAACATCGTTATTCTTCAGGAGACTCGGCTTTGGACTCTAACCACTAATGATTGGTGTATTCCAAAGGAAAATTCAGCATGACCAGAGGTGCTGAACCAGATCTTGATCATCATTACATTCGAAAACAGCCGGAGGGATATGATTAACAGATTTTCAATAAACGCTGAGGAGAAGCGCAAACTACACAGCGCTGCGGCGTAACCCGTGCGACAGGCCTCAGGTAACAAATACCAGCGGCGACCTCAAGACGATCTCTGGCGACTTTTACGGAGCTAGGCGCCCGTGCCCCTGGCCCCACGTTCGATTAGAAAGGCCCAGCGCTACCTCAAATCCCTGGCTTTACTGTTAACTGTATCAACTTTAGGGTGTGATTACAGGAAATGTCTTTCGGCTTGCGGGGGTGCTTTTAACATTTCCTTTCCAGAGATCCTTTTGCAGTATGCCCAGGGCAAGACTTACCAAGGGATCGGCACATCTGAAATATTCATGGTGACATACCGAGTGTTGGTTTTCACTCACAACGAAGCAGATGCACTGGGTACCTCTGTAGTCTTCAAGTGCGTCAGTAAGATGAGGATTCATTAACGACCGGACAAAGTCCAGTCCAGTCGAGATTTAGTTTATTCTTAGTTAAGCTAAGGAAAAAACTTAGTCCCAGTTGAAGGTACATACAAGCTCCGCGGAAAGTACGCCAAAAGAATAAAAGCCGACATCATGATGAACTCTGTCAAGGCGACACCCAAGGACCTTATTATGGCAAGATCGCTTCGTGTCTGTTCTAATGCGTTGGTCTGTCGTGTCTCCTGTCGCGTTTCATGTTCAGCGACTGCTGAGTTTCTGGAATTGTAATTACGCCCGAAATGAGGAAGAGAAAGTAGGTGGCACGTGTCGAAGTTGGCTGCGGGACATAATGGCGGGGTGGGGGTGATAGGGCGCCCTCCACTTCACAAAGGAAAATGGTATTCCATTTGGCATTTGGCTTAGATATCGATGTTAATACATTTCTTCCGTTTGAAGCATCAAAATGGCAACGCCATGGCGTTCCCTCTACTAATTAAAAGTGAAGACACAATTCCATCACTTCAAAGGTTCGTTTGCCCCCCCGCGCCTTCGCCCAGGGTCCTGGCCTTCACACATTCTTGTGAAGGAA